TTACTGCGTAATGTACACGCCGTAGGACTGGAGCGGTATGTCCTCCACGCCCTCCTCTGCGAGGAAGCCTATTAGCTTCGGGAACATCGCGATCGGCGCGTCATGATCGCATATGAACTCCACGCCGCGCATGAGACGTGTAAGCCGCGCTCCCTCCTTGTCGGTGTTGGCGAAATCGTCGAGCCGCTTCTGCTTCTCGATCTCCGCCATGAGCGTCCGTGGCTTCGTCGTGGCGGCCGCTCAGCTCGTGACTGCGCATCGATCCGAGCTGTAGATCGCGTCCCCCCGTTCCATTCCGTCCGAACTTCGCGTCGTCTTTCCCATGCTCCACGCAAATGCTGCATCGCAGAATGGGCAGGTCCTCCTCGTTCTTGTCAAGCAGCAGCCACTCAAACTTCGGCAGCCACTGCGTGATGTACAGCTACTGCGCCTTTAGAAATTTCTCCTCAGCCTTCTCAGTGTCGGTGAGTTCACGGGACGCACGCTTCGGAGCTTGGACAGGAGCGGGAGGCGGAGTCGGTTTCGCAGGGGGCGTGCCGAATGGTAGGACGCCTTGCGCGAAGCGCGGCCACTTCTTCGAGGCTGCAGACGATGAATCACCCACCTCTGTGACGCTGACAGTGCCGGGAGCACTGTCTGGCGCGACCGGATTAGAGGCAGACGGCGTTGCAACGGGCTCTTTCTTGTTGCTGCAAGCAGACGGGCCTGCAGTGCCTACAGGCGGAGGGTTCGCATGTAGCGCTCGCAGAAAATCGAGGCCTGTCCGCGCGGGCGGATCAGACGGTGGCTCGTCAGCAGCCTCACCATCGTCAGTCTCTGCTGGAGCCATGGCTCCTCTTGTTGCACGGAAGGAAGGCCTACGTAGCCTAACTGTGCGTGTGTTCTCTGCTCTTGCAATGTGAAACTCCAAACGTGTTCATGCCCCCAACCCTTTCTCGTCTCTGTTTCCTACCGTGCACGCAAATGAACTGCAGAGCCAGCCACAGTCGTGTAAGGACCACGGTGCCCAGTGGCCTTGTGGGCACCGACTTTCTGCTGCAGTGAGCCATGTTTCCAGCTAACCCGGCAATGTTGGCATGCCAGACAAACATTCCGAGTTGGGTCGGTGGCGCTGCCTACATAGAAACTGTAATACTGGCCAATGGTGGCCCACTGTGTGCCAGCACATGAGTGGTAAAGGCCGAAATTCCGGCTTCGACACTTGCCTCTCGGGAATCCCAGGTTACGGGAAAGGGGGGATGGGTGTACTAGGGGGTGGGGGGGGGAAGGGCACTCGGTACAGGGTAAAACCCGTTACGGGAATCGGGTACCCTTAGGCATCAGTGTGCCTTATACAAAAACTCTGGCACATCACGGTAAATCTATCACAAAAAAAAAAACTACCCTAGGCCATCAGTGTGACTATCAAAAACCACCCTGATTATCAGGGTATCAGGGTGATTTACACTGATAAAATTTGGCCTGAGCCCAATCGGCCCAAGCTGTCACTTACGCTAGTGAGCCAATGATGTGCATATTGAAGAACCAGACTATAGTCAAATAAAGTATCATTACTGTACCCACCATTGATCAAACTTCTTGCTCGTTGCCAGAGGTCTCTGACTGACAGTTGACTTCCGTGACTGTATTTTGCCGAATCAGAGACCGCAAGTTACCAGCACTTCGTACTTATTCCGGCACGAACGCAAGTGCTGGTAACCACAAGCCTCTGAAGCGCAGGGTTTGTCCCGTCTCGTGCATGCTCGGACCAAGCGTGAAGTGCCCGTCACGGATTGTAAAGAGCCATTGAGGAGGGTGTGGTTGCGAATGCGTTAACGAGAGCGTGATTGCATCTCGAAGCCCCCGAGGCAGGGTTACAGTTCTTCGTTATAGAACAAGAAATGTTTCGCGATGCTGGCGAAACATTGTTCAACCAAAGCTGCAGGAGTCTGAGATTTCTCCCACCATGGGCATCGCGGCGCGACGAGGCCTCGACCCAAACGTGGCGCTGACGCTTGGCATGTGAGCTGGTGAGTACAAAACGAGGCATAACCCCACTCGAACCAGCATCACAATTCAGTTCCTTGATTCGTTCTGCTACTACGACTTGTTTTAGGCCAACAACGCCTGCAGGCAACCGTGACAGGCACCACTAGAACCAGTAACTGCCCGCAGAGATTTCATATATCGCCATGAGGGACGTTTCTGCAATCGTTATGCTACTGCTTCTCGCCGCATTCCTCCTGGCGGCGCAGCCATCCAGTGCAAGTCGCGAATCAGCTTGGCGCAACTTGAACCGCGCTTGGCGGAACGGCGGCGAGAATGCTCACTTCTCGGCGCCCTCCCGCAGCAACTCCGGAAAATTTGCAACGCCAGCTGCCGACGGCTCCGCGGTGTACATCGTTCGCCTGAGCACGGCGCCTCCCCTCACCGAATACCGCGGCGGAATCGCGGGCTACCCCGCGACGGCCACGTGCATCCCAAAACATTTGGTCGGGGGGTTGGGGTACCAAACTATGGAGTGGGGACTTCGTACGCACGTTTGTGGTGGGTGTTGGGTATGGTGTATGAAGATGCATAATATTCGGCCACCCTAGAACGAACTATGCCTGACGAACCTACCTTGCATTACAGTCGGATGAATGTACATCGAAGGAGGTGACTACTACGTACATACTTTGCCTTGCGAGCAAGTTCAGATTGTTCGAGCCTACATTGTCGGTGGGGTTCCAAACCTACAATAATCCTACCAGGCCTGTACTTCATTGTCCGAATATTCAGTATCATGACTCACAAATACAAACATTATTGGGTTAGAAGCCCGTTTCTGAGCCAGGAGAATAACACAAAGCGTAATAAATAGATGCGAAAACGTATCACTCGCACCAAGATAGCAGCTGACGCGAATTTCGGAGCAACTTAAGCCATAAAGAAATCGGAACCGTCGATTTTACGAATTGACGGTTCCGATCTAATCTGAGCGCTATGTTGAAAGTTGTGAAGTTTTGTGCAGGTTGGAATGTGAGCCGTCGATCAGAGACGTGATTAACGGTTAAGATTAGTGGTATGGTTGTTTGAAGATGAATCGACACCGTCGATATGTATCTTATACGGTTGGTCAAGATTGCAGCTGACTAATCTCAAAAGTATTTCAGAAAGGTTGGAATTACCGCCGTTGATTAAAACATCATTGGATCTTAACCGTAGATTCTTTCCCAAGCTGTGCTGCAGATTTCTAGTGGCTAACTGAATATTTCAGTCGTCGAATCTGCTGTATTCAATGGCCACGATCGAGAGATGAAAGAGTTGGGCAGATAATTATGCTAGACTGTTTCCGATTGGTTCAAGTTCCATCAACCCCAGATTTCGGCCTAGGCACACACAGACACATCAAACACCAAACCCTCTTGACCTCCACTCGTTTTCTTGGCTTCCAGGCAGCTCTTATTTAGTTCCTCTCGGTTTAGGATTTGGTTTCTTAGCTTCATTTCTTAGCTCCTTTCTTAGCTTCATTTCTTAGCTTCGGTTTCACCTGCGAGACCACGCTAGTGCCGTTTTTTTACCTTAGAAATCTTGAGCGCTGCTTGTTGAGTTACAGTCAGTTTCCTCCGTTTTGCATGTACCTTATGGCATGTCAGAAGGCAATATGGGTGCGGTGATACGGACGTCGCGATATGGGCGTGCTGATATGGGCGTGGTCGTGATTGCTGCCTCATAGTTGTTGCTTCACTTTGCACTGTTTTTTTTTTCTGTTGTTTGTTTTCCTAACACTAACGGTTGTATGTGTCGCCGGTTTCTGTTGTTTGTCCTCCAAACACTGACCTTGAATGTATGTGTCTTAATTTTGCAGGCGAAGGGTTTGACCGTGCATATTGCGCTATTTTTTTGTTATCGTCAGTTCTGTGCCCATTACTAACGCAAGTTGAGTGTGTCGCAACTTGTCTGGTCTGAGGCCATTAGTTTGTCATTCAAGCAACTGTCGTTGCTTCACTTCTCTCTTCTGTTTCAGCTCCGTTCTCTGTCTCTGTGTGCCCTATCACATATCAACGCCAAATCCCACTCTGCATTCCTGTTGTGTTTGTATTTCCAGGCGAGTATTCAGTGCCTTGGCACTGCAACGAAAGTGGCCTGCCTTTCAGCATCGGGGCGTTTGAGATTTTCAACGCGGCAGCACAATGGCGCTCGCTTTCGCGCAAGGTGCTGCGCCCACATTGCTTGCCTAAATTGCAGGGTATTTGGTAATGTAGACCATACACTGGATATTACCATTGTTGCATTGCGTTTTGTTGGTTACATTGTTATTAATGTAATGGTTACATGCCTGTCAATGTAAGAATGTAACATTGTAATCGAGGGATTCAAAGGCAACATGTGACTGGTGAAAGCATCTGTAACCATTGTAACCAGGTTAAGCTGTAACCAATAATTGTAACTGTTACAAACTTAAAGCCAGATATATTGTGCTTCATAGTTACTCTGTGGATCCCATTTTACAGTGGTGATACATTGTACATTTTACAATGTACACCTCGAGTACCGACCCCATTGTATCCCTAAACCGGGTACCGTAGTATGGGCTCACAATTTACCATGTCGCAACTCGCGCGAGGGGAAGTGGGAGCAGAGCACATCCAATATACCGACAGTATCGGGGCAGAGGGAGTAGAGGGTTAGTAGAAAAACCTGTATATACATTGGTTCCTCCGACATTGCGCCCGCAATGGAAGTAGTTAGTAGATTTGAGGTAGCTACTTAGTCTAGTCGCCCTAATGTTTTGGGATGTGGGACGACGGCAGCGACGAGGGCGACAGTGAGGAAGTGCCGCAGATGATTCTCCCCGCCGGCGATTCCGCCGCCGTCGCAGGCGGCGAGTCCGTCGATCTGGACGACACCGACGGCGACCAGCAGCTCTCAAACGCGACGGTGCCATCATCACCGCCCACAAACGGCACATCTGATGCCGCCGCCACTCCGAGCGCTCGCGGCGGTAACGGTAACGGCGGTCGTAATGGCGGCGGCGGATGCCCGCGGCACCGGCTGAGTCTGAGCATGGACCGCCCCAGGTGGCGGCGTTCGCGGGGCTGCTGCAGCGGCAGCAGGCGCAAGTGGCATCTGAGGCGGGCGTACCCGAGGACGGGCTGCTCTACAGCTACAAGCACACGTCCAACGGCTTCGCCGCGCGCCTCACGCCGCGCCAGCTGTGGCGGCTGCGGCGCAACCCCGCCGTGGCGTCCGTCCGCGCCAGCCGCGTGTTCAGCCGGCAGACGACCGACTCTCCGCAGTTCCTGGGGCTGCCCGGAAAGGTGTGGCCGGCAATGGGCGGGCAGGGCAAGGCGGGCGAGGGCACGGTGGTGGGGATCGTGGACACCGTCCTTCAGCGATAAGGGCCTCTCCTCGCAGCTGCCCGCAGGGTGGAAGGGCAAGTGCGAGCAGTCGAGCTCGTTCCGGTGCAACAACAAGGTGATCGGCGCCAAGGCCTTCTATGCCGGCTTCCAGCAGAGCTACGGCCGGCCCGTGCTGACCAATGACTGGCTCACGCCGCGAGATGCGGACGGCCATGGCACGTGGTGCGCTGGAGCAGCCGCGGGCAACCCCGTGAATGTGAAGGGCGGCGGGCAGGTGAGCGGCATGGCGCCGGCAGCGCGCATTGCGGCGTACAAGGTCTTCTGGAAGGACGGCAACGGGGCATTGACCGCGATGGAGTCAGATATCATCGCAGCCGTCAATCAGGGCGTGGCGGACGGTGTGGATGTGCTGTCGCTGTCTCTGGGCAGCAAGATTCCCGATCCCAACGACCACTATTTCAACGATCTCGCTTTCATGCGCGCCAATGCTGCCGGGGTGTTTGTCACCTTTGCTGCCGGCAACAACGGGCCTCCCGGGAGTATTGGTGGAGGGTACTACCGCACGTTGGACAACTTCGCGCCTTTCTACCTCACCGTTGGCGCCAGCACCATTGCCCGAGGCGGCGCGTCCCTCGCCTCCTCAACTGCCGGCGCTCAGTCGCTCGCTTTCGGCGCCACCACCAGCAGCAACGGCACTGACAGCACGGACGGCAGCAGCAGCACCGTTCTGACTGCTGACGGCGGGATCACGTTCACCACTGCCTCCTCCTCCGCCCCGGTGGTGGCTGGCTTCTCTTCCCGCGGCCCCCTGCTGCAGCCGTCCGCCACGGCCCAGCCACCCAAGGCAAGCAACGCCATCTTAAAGCCCGACATCATCGGCCCCGGAGTGGACCTCTATGCTGCCTTTCCTGGCAAGAAACCCGGCGAAACCGGCAGTCTTGCCAGCATGTCGGGTACTTCCATGGCCACCCCGCTTTTAGCCGGGCTAGCCGCTTAAATCATCCAGAAGTACCCCAACTGGACCCCGGCGCAGGTGATGTCAGCGCTGATGACGACGGCGCGGGTGACGGACACGAGCAAGAGCCCGATCAAGAGTTCGACGGGCAGGGAGGCCACTCCGTGGGAGATGGGCGCAGGCCACGTGTTCCCCCCCGCCATGCTCGACCCCGGGCTCACCTACGATGTCCGCGACCGTGACTACCAGAATTTTCTTGCCGGGCAGGACCTCAACCGCGCGACAAGGGAGTTTTGGGGGGTGAAGCTCTCTCCTCTGGCTGTGCGCAACCTCAACCTGCCCACCATCACTCTGCCTCGCCTGCAGGGCTCCCTGCAGGTCACCCGCACCGTCACCAATGTGGGGCAGTCCCGGTCCACATACAGCATATCTGGGAAGGCGCCGCAGGGGGTGAAGGTGACTTCGTCGGCTAAGAGCCTCACGCTTGCTCCCGGGTAGAAGGCGAGCTACACGCTGACGTTTACGATGGATACCCCCAGTAATGACTTCCAGTACGGGTTTATAGTGTGGGCTGACAACCAGGGCCACAGCGTGCGCTCCCCCCTCGTGGTGCAGCCCATCTCCCGCTGAGGGGGAGAGTTGTGTGAGGGAGGCTCTTTCGTGGTAGGGGGGAAGATTTGAGCTCCCCATTTTATGTTATGATGACAGGGATATTGTTGTGGTGTGTTGTATGGCAGGGCAGTGGCACATGGGATGGCAGGGCAAGTTGCATGGAACTTTGATATGGAAGGGTTTGGTTTGGTGTGTCTGACACGAGTGATTGTGTGTGAGCTGGCTGGATAGTATTTGGCAACTTCCTTGTTTGCATGCTATTTATTTGACACATACGGTATACTTTCAATCCAGCTGTACTAAAACAGAATACCAACACCGAGTTGTAGACTACCAAGGTAAATACACAGACACTACCACTCAGCAAACCAAACACGATGGACCAAAGCTCCAAAAGAGGAGAGTCAAGGACAGACACCAATTCAACTGCAGGTTAACCCCAAGGCCCAGCTGCCACAGCAGCTCGCACTCCTTCCTGAAGCATCTTGCAGCACTGTCTATGATCTATCTCGCTACAGTGCTCACTCCAGACCCAGAACCCTCATATTCCTCACATGCCCCATGCATCAGCCAGCTGTCGCCGGTAGTCGCCTGCTGATCGCCCCACCCAGCTGCCCCCATCGGCGCCCACCACCTGCTGCAGCGCTGCCAGCACGTGCTGTTTCAGATGCCCGTCCACTGCCGGACCCTCTGCTCCGTACGGGAGAGATGACTCGTCCGTCATTATGTCCAGCAGCTGGGGGGGTCATGGGAAGGGAAGAATAGGGGAGTAAAGTGAGGGGGAAAGCCAGTGTGCCAGCACGTGGTGCATCAGATGCCCGTCCAATGCCGGACCCTCTGCCCCGTAGGGCAGAGAGGACTCGTCTGTCACTATGTCCAACAGCTGGGGATGATGAGCGGGGAATAGGGCGGGGGGAGAAAAGGAGGGTGTAAGCACATGGGGTGCTTCAGTTCAGATGCCCATCCACTGCCGGGCCCTCTGCTCCATATGGGAAAGATGACTCGTCCGTCAATATGTCTAGAGCACCTGGGGGGTTGATGGGAGGGAAACGAATGTGGGGGGAGGGGAGCTAGGAAAAGACAAATCCGAACCCTTGCTGCTTCACACATGGGTTCACTGCCGTGTAACTGCAGATGAGAACACAACGAACGGTTGTGATGGCCCGAACCACACAGTGTAGTGCATCAGCAAGCCAAGCAAGATCGTGCCCCTGCCTCCATGCATCCGCCCACCAACAGCACACATCTCAGCATAGCACATCACCCCCTCCCATCGCCTCACCTGCCGAACCCACGGCAGCAGGTATTCCACCGACGTCCCCCTTATAAGCAGCTCCACCATGCGCCGTATAACCTCCGCCCCGGTATCAGGCGACAGATGCCCCAGCACAGGCCCGGTTCGGCCCATCAGCCGCACCATAGCACCCGCATCTGCAGCCTTCAGCACCTCTTTATAAGCACCCTCGAACCCCCCGGCCTTGAGCTCATCTAAAGCCACGGCCCACGACCAATTGGCTGGTGCCACGTGGCGCTTCAGCGGACCTAGAGGCTTATCTGCTGCTGCTTCTGCACTTTCACCTCCCCCGCCTCCTCTCCCTCCTCCTCCTCCCCCCCCTCCTCCTCCTCCCCCCCCCTCCTCCTCCTCCCCCCCCTCCTCCTCCCTCTGCTGTTGGCAACGTCTCTGCTCTCAGTTGCTGCTGCTGCTCAGGCTGAGCCTGGTGAAGGTTCATTTGCTCGCTCTGATCCTGTTGCAGACTAGAGTTGCCTCGCCACTGCAGCAACAACTTCTGCTGCTCCGGCTGCTGCTGCTGCTGCTCCGGCTGCTGTTGCTGCTGGTGTTCTACATTCATGCTTGTGTTGAGAGGCAGGCGAGGGGACGAGACGGTAGAGGAGTGGGGAGGCGTGCGGGGAGGGCCAGTGGGAGGAGTGGCGTTCTGTCCGCAGCTCAAGGAAGAGGTTCTCCTTAGAGTTACCAGCTGCTGCTGCTGCTGCTGTTGCTGCTGCTGACTTTGGAATGAAGCCACACGTGCCGCCTCAGCTGCTGCTGCCGCCGCCGCTGCTTCGGCCACAGCTGCAGCAGCTGCAGCATTATCATCCTCCGTATAAGCTGCTTCATTCCCTGCTCCAATACCACCAAACCCACCCATGAATGGCTGTGCCTGCACGAAGCCACCAGCACCAGACCCACTGCCTATCCCCCCTGCGCTGCTCCCTATCCCACCCATCCCTCCTCCTCCCTGCAACGACAGCCTTCGTCCAGGGGTGAGCCCCCTGCTGCTGTCACCACCAGCAGTGGTGCGAATGCGAGCAGGGAGGTAAGGGGAGGGCATGGTAGGGAGGGCGGAGGTGGAGATGGGGTGAGGAGAGGTGGGGACAGCGTGGGGTGAGGGGGAGGCAGCAGCATTGGAGGTCCAAGGGAGAGAGGCTACCACTGGAGAAGCAGCAACACTGTGCATGGCTCGTGTGGTTCTCAGTGCTAGTTGTTGCTGCTGCTGGTGCTGCTGCTCCAAATATGACAGCTTCACCTGCTGCAACTGCTGCTGCTGCTCGTGGTAAGCCTGCTGAATCTGCTGCTGCTGCAGCTGCACCGCTTCTGCTTCAGCCAACGCTAGCTGCTGCTGCTGCTGCTGCTCGTGCTGGTTCTGCTGGTGGTGCAGGGACTTGAGGGTAGAGAGCGAGCCTTCAAGGGACAGCATTCGCAGCTCGAGACTATCCATGGTTCGCCTGGTAGCGCTCATGAAACCCTGAGGAATGGAGGGCAGGGAGTGCAGGGGAAAGGGAGGGGCGGAAGGGAATAAGTGGAGTGGGGGGAGCGAAAGCGGCAGTGAGCATTTGCAGCTCGAGGCTGGGAATGGTTCGCCTGGCAGCGCTCATGCAACCCTGACGAGCGGAGGGCAGGGAGAATGGAGGGCACAGAAGAATCAGAACAGCAGCAGCCACTCACCTCCAACACAGCTTGGTAGCTTGCTCCAACAGCAGCAGCCACACATTCCTTCAGTCGAATACATATACAAACATATACATATAACCTTGATATGCTCCATTGAGTGAACCACTCACCTCCACCATGCCCTGGTAGCTGTCCTGCTGCCGCTCCATATCAGCCACTCGTTGCCCTGATTTCTAGCCTTTCAGAATTTCTACATTCATGCAGCGCAGCACGCCTCATGAAGTGAACCACTCACCTCCACCATGCCCTGGTAGCTGTCCTGCTGTCACACTCCATCTTCACCACTCGTTGCCATGATTCTCGAGTCTAAACATCCACCCTCATGCAGCACGACTCATTGAATGAACCACTCACCTCCACCATGCCCTGGTAGCTGTCCTGCTGCCGCTCCATATCAGCCACTCGTTGCCTCAGTCTCTGCACCTCTGCCTCCACTGCCTCCGCCACAGCTGCAGCAGCAGCAGCAGAAGTGCCTATATTGCTCCTTCCCCTTCCCCTCCGCCCTCCCCCGAGCCCATTCTCTTCGCCCTCCATCACCCCCTCATCCTCATCCTCATCCTCATCTTCCTCCTCATCACCCCTCTCCCACTCCCTACCGCCTCCCTTCCTCACACCCCTCACCCCGCTGTCCCTCTCCCTGCCTCGAGGCCACGGTCCCACGCCACTGCCAGAGTCGCTCATCAGTACCACCTGCGCCGCCTGCCCTCCCCATTCCGCCCTCCGACCCCTCCCCTTCCGCTCCCACGGGTGTGGCTGCTGCTGCTGCTTCTGTTGCTTGCTCTGGTACGCCTGACTCAAGTCATAGGAGCGTCTAATCTGCATTTGCTCTCCATCCGCCTTCTTTAACCCGCTCTGCCTCGACTGGTGCTGCTGCCCCTGGTACTGACTCTGCTGCGGCCTCTTCCGCCCGAGCTTCTCCTCCTGACGTGTCACCTCCTGCTTCTGCCACGTGTCGCCCTGCCTCTGCTGCTGCTTCACACCCTTCCCAACACCGGACCTTCCGTCTCTGCGGCCTCCTTTCGGACTCGAATCCATAGCATCCTCGTTATTAGCCCACCCACGCCTCATACGAGCACGAGGAAAAGACTCCCCATAATCCTCCTCCTCTTCCTCGCTTGAAGACAAATGACTGCTCAGTGACCCATACCTCCTCCTTCCCCTCCCATCCTCCCTACCCTCCTTTCTCCTCATTCGCCCTCTCTCCACCCTCTCACCCTCCTCTTCCTCCCCATCCCACCACCCTCCTTTACCCTGCACGACCCTGGCTTTCCCACCACCGGTGGTATCAACAGAGAGACTACTGCTCCAAGAATTACTCCTCCTCATACCACCGCCTCCTTCTCCCCACGTTCCCCTCTCCCTTCTCCCAACCCCATCCACTCTCTTCCCCCTCTCTTCCGCCTCTCTCACTCCCTCCTTTCTTCCCCCACCCTTGCCTCCCCTCCCAGCCTTCCCCGCGCTCCCCCAGTCATACGATTGGCGCAGCGCCCCTCCCCCTTCTCCCCTCCCCGTATTCCCCACGCCCCTGCCCCTTCTACCCGCCTCCTCCTCCCCCTTCCTATTCTTCTCCTCCTCTGTCTTCCCCACCCCCTGCCCCTGCCCCTGACCGTCCTTCCATCTGTTCCTGCCCTTGCTCCACTTCTGCCTTCCCAAGGCATCACCACCCCCTGTTGCCTTCCGCCCCTTCCTCTCCTCCCATTCGCCTGCCCTACCTTCCCGCTGATTCCCATCCTCGTCATTGTCAGACTCGCTAGAACCATAAGCGTCATTCTCTGCGCCTTGAGACTCCTCGCCGCGCTTCTCCACTTTTGGTGCCTTTTCCTCCTCACACTCTCTCTTCACCTCCCGCTCTTCCTCCTCCTCCCTTTCCTCCTCACTCTCCAACCCAGTAGCATACCTCGCTGCAGGCCCTCCCGCAGCATTGATAACACCCCCCACTCCCTCCTCCTGCCCCCTGTTATAAGCACCACTGGGTTCAGTATTCCCTCCTGTGTCCTTCTCTCCCTCTACCTCTCGAAGCATGTGGTGCAGAAATTCCTGCTTCTCGTCCTCGTTCCTCTCCTCCACTCGCTCCTGCACCTGCTGATTACGATACTGCTGCTGCTGCTGCTGCCGCTGCCGCTGCTGCTGCTGCTGCTGCTGCTGCCGCTGCCGCTGCTGCTGCCGCTGCAGCCGCCGCCGCCGCCGCCGCCGCCGCTGCTGCTGCTGCTGCTGCTGCTGCTGCTGCTGCTGCTGCTGCTGCTGCTGCTGCTGCTGCTGATACTGCTGATGTTGCTGCTGCTGCTGCTGCTGCTGCTGGTGCTGCTGATACTGCTGATGTTGCTGCTGCTGGTGGTGCTGCTGCTGCTGCTGCTGGTATTGCTGCTGCTGCTGCTGCTGCTGCTGCTGCTGCTGCTGCTGCTGCTGCTGCTGCTGCTGCTGCTGCTGCTGTTGGATCGCACTCGGCGCCACCTCCTCCTGCTGCAAGTCGGCCTTGTCCGAACCGCCCCTTCCGTTCATCTCCTTCACTCCTTCTCCATTCACCTCCCGCTTCTCCTCTGACTCGCCACCGCCCTTGCCCCATCCGCCACGTGTCTTAGGCACTAGAATCTCCACATTCCAATCGCTACCTGCTCCTGCTCCTTTCCCTCCCCCTGTGCCCTCCTTGCCTCTCCCACCAGCAGCGGCCGCAGCCTTGATAGCAGCAATCCCCGAAGTCGAATTCCTCCGCGCTTCACACCATCCGCTTGCGCACGACTGTCTTTTGCCCCCGCCCCCGTCGCTGCACCCTGCTTGCCCTCTTCCCTCCCATCACCCTTCTTCCCTCCACTGCCCTCACCCGACCCCCCTTTACTGTCACCCTTCTCCCCCACTGCCCCGGCCTTCGATTTAGGAACCATCACTTCCACGGACCAGTCGTCACCTCCCCCAGCCTTCCCCCCTGCGCCCGCCTTCTTGAAAAACAGAGGGTTTCCTCGAAGCGGCTGCCGCTCAAACTTAGGCCGAGCAGCCTTCTCTCCAGCTCCATTATCCGCGTTAGTAGCTTCTCCTTTGGAAGCTTCTCTGGGTTTCGACTGAGATAATTCCGGAGCCCATGCGTGGGACCCAATCCCCCCTTTGCTCAGTCCGATTTTCCTTCCGCCCTCTTCTCCCTCCCCTCCTGCTCCTCCTCCTGCTCCTGCCACTCCTACAGCAGCAGCACTTGCTGTTGCTTCCTCAGCTCGAGCTCGGCCCAGCCCACTGAAGGTGCGTGCCAGCATGCCGCTCACTCCTCCCCGCTTCACAGCAGGGGTCACACTGGCAGCAGCTGCTGCTGCTGCTGCTGCTGCTGTAGCTGCTGATACTGATGCTGCTGCTGCTGCTGATGCTGCAGCTGCTGCTTCTTCTGCCTCTGCTGCGTCTCGAGCGTCTTGAAACGGGTCTGTTACAAGCGAGGACGAGCGGCCTTGAAGCTTGAATGAGCGGTTGCCAATGCTTTTGTCGTTTTCTGCTGCACCAGGTGAGAAACTGGAGCGCCCTCCTGGAAGGTGCAAGGAGGTTATGGACAAGAATGAGAAAGCGATGATGCTAACGTTGCCTCACACTACCACACATGCGTCTCACATTCCCTCACTTGCCTCTCACACACCTCTTCGTACCTGATGCGCTGCCAACAGCAGCAGCAGAGGGCAGCGACGGGGTCTGCACGGCAGCCGCTGCCGATTCTGACGAGAGGGACGGCACGGACAGCACTTGGTGCTGGCCCGCTGCGGGCGGGTCCTCCCATTCCACACACGCCCACGCCTGCTTCGCCTGCGCCAGGGAATCGCGCACATTCTTCACCTGCAGAACAGATTCAATGTAAGGGGTGGAGGGGATTGGAGGGAGTGGAGGCACTTCGTGCTTCCCTGCTGCAGGCGGGTCCTCCCACTCCACACACGCCCACGCCTGCTTCGCCTGCGCCAGGGAATCGCGCACATTCTTCACCTGCGAAACAGATTCAGCGTAAGAAGTTGGAGGGAATTGGATGCATGTGGATGTGGTAAAGTTGAGTTATCTAGCAGTCGCAGCAAGTCTGCATTGCAGTGCTGCACGCTCCTCCTACGGCCCGACCATATCCCCTTTGCCTCACTTCCCGTGCCCTGCCGCTGCACTCGATCCCCTTCATCTCGTCTCTCGCTTTTCTACTCCCTCATGACCGCCACTCTACTTTTTCTCGCTCCCCTTACCTCCCCCCTTCCCATGCCCCGCCGCCCTACCTTATCGCCTTTGCACTAATCCAATGCCTTCATGACCGCCGAGCGGCTCTCCCCCAGAAACCCGGCCGGGAAGGTTGATGGCGAGCTGCCTACCTTATTCCCTTGATCTCGCCCCTTTTTACCTCGCTTCCCCCTGTATCCCGCCGCCCTACCTTATCCCCTTTGCACTGGTCCAGCGCCTTCATGACCGCCGAGCGGCTCTCCCCCAGAAACCCGGCCGGGAAGGTTGATGGCGAGCTGCCTACCTTACTCCCTTGATCTCGCCCCTTTTTACCTCGCTTCCCCCTGTATCCCGCCGCCCTACCTTATCGCCTTTGCACTGGTCCAGCGCCTTCATGACGGCCGCGCGGCTCTCCCCCAGAAACTCCGCCGGCAGGTTGATGGCGAGCTGCCCCAGCAGGTCTACCGCAGCCTTGCGCGTGGCCCAGTCCGCGGACGCCACGGCGGCGGTCGCGGCGGAGACCAGCACGGGCACTTGCGCGCCCATGGATTCCCCGCACACCTGCGCGGAGCGACGGCGCGGAAAGGAAGCGGGGGTGTATGAAACCCAAGAGCACTTTTCTGAGAGCGAGGCATAGTCTATTCCTATGCGGGCATGCGAGCCCGTGAACTTATGCGGAATGAAAGAACGTCAAAGTACCAGAGGCTTGAGCCAGGCGGGTAAGTCGACGTACCTCGGCAAGGCTTGCAACGGCGCCCAGCAGCTGCGCCTTCGCCTGAAACCCTTGCCGCGAGAGCATGCCGTTCGCTCGCATCAGCACGCGCGCCGCGCTCGGCTCCATTTTCTCCCGGGCAGCCCGGAAGACGCGGTCGAGACAGATCGCCGCACCTGCCTGCGAGTTTCGGCTCTGCTCGCCGAGCGTGTCGAGGAGCGGCCGAACGTAAACGCCCATGGCTCCGAAGCCGCCGACGGGAATAGCTCCGGGGACGGTATCGTGGGGAGGTGGGGGAACGTGCTGAACTAGTGTCGCCATGGCTTCTGCGCAGGATTCAATTAAGGTGGACTCGGGGTCGCGCAGGCGACGGACGACGGCTGCGACGATCTTGGGAAGATGCGGCGACAGGAGCGGGCCGAAGGTCATCGCAAGGATGGCGAATTGCCTGCGACGGCGCGACAAAGGTGTACGACATGGTTGTTCAGGTGACGTGGAAGGCAGGTAACAGCAATGAACAAAAAAGAATAAGAAATAAATACCGCGCCACTGATCGTATGAGACGACGGCAAACCAATGAAAGCGACAGCGATGGTTTTTCGTCGTCTGGTGAAGGCGTCACTTGTGGCATCTCCTTGCCAGCGATTTTGTGAATTAAGGAGGCATTACCTGAGACATTCTTTCCGGACGAAGGTGCGATGGGTGCTGTCAGTCTCGTAGAGGCAGGAGAGGAAGACGGGAATGCCTTCCGGCGGCAGGCACTCCACGATATTCTGCAGATCCCCCACGGCGTTCTGCTGCGTGTCGCGATCGTTGAGCTTCCCGAGCGCCACTAGGAGGCTCTTCTTAACGTCGTTTAGCGCAACCCTACTAGTCTGCAGCGGCTGCGGCTCGATTAACTGCGTGATTGCCATGGCTAGGGACCTGGCAGTTATAGAGTGATTGTGGATTATTCTCGCACGTGAGATTCGCTTATTCCATACGCTTTGCTAAGGCCAACTCGGGCTACTCTGATTACGCCTAAAAAATTACGTCGTGAGGAACGAAGGAGTCACGATTGTTGAATGACGAGCTGCTACACCTCTGGTACCTAGTCAAAGTAGCATTTGACGGGACAGGACGACCAGCTAGTCTGAAGGAGGGGACGAGAAAGACGAGGTTGGGGAAGGGAGGAAAACTCGAGGCACGAGAACAACAGCCAGCAATAATCAACTAGGGCTGGTAAAGCATGTTCACATGGCGTCCGTCCCATCCCCCAACCATAGAACGCGGTCTGAGGCTGTTGAGTTGCGGTCTTGAAATTCGACCGTTGGGATTTGACTGGGCTGGGACATGGAGTGAGGGAGTGGGGTGTTGGGGTGGTGAGGTACGGGTGCTTGTTTCGTTTCCTCCCTTGATGTTGCCCTCCTCTCAGGATTTGCTATTTCGTTTCGGGCCGGGCAGCCTCTGGAAATTGACTTCGTGCCACGATTCGTTCCTCCAGGGTGTTGTGATGAAGCTTGCCCGCACTTCACGCAGCCTTTTGGCTCCACGCTGCCCGCGCCGCCGTGATTCCCTCCCGCCATCTTTCGACCCCTGTAGTGCCTGACAAACCCTGATACAAACTCAATATAAGGAATTTATGTCTCACAAGTGAGTATTTTTTACTTCAAAGGCGATCACACTGAAGTGTTCAGTAACGCGTACACTATCAGGCTCCCTTCCTGCTCGTACCCTTCTCATCACCACCACCCACACCTGGATCTGACAAGGTTCTTATCCACTAAGTACAAATGTGAAGCCCCATTATCCTGGAGTCCTCGCGCAGCTTGTTCGAAGCGTCCTCCCGACGGGTCGGCTAGTTGGTCTTACTTCGGAGTTCCTCGCGTTTGTTTAATCTGAAGTCGTGTGTGCGAGATTCACTTTGTCTGTACCGATGGAGCAGCTACCGTCAGTAGAGGAGCTTAAGACTCTAGCTGTCGAGTACTTTTCAAAGGCTGAGTCCTCTCTTTGGAATGTGCTTCCTCCCGTCGTGCAAGAATCCCCTGTATTTCTCGATATAAGCCGAGCTCTTAATGTTCGCGTCGAGACGGCTCTGTTGCTGTCCACGATCGGCGTCCTACTGGCCTCTCTTATTTTCCTCCTAGGTACGTGAAAAGCTTTCGAATCATTTAAAGAATCATCCAAAGGAGCGCCATAATTCTACTATTTTAGGGAATGACCCGTTTTTACGCTCGTTCTTCGCATGTCCGTCTCGTTCTTTGTCCTGATTGCTCGAATTCGTCCGTTCACGTGCATCCTTTCCGCTCCAGCTGTGCGTTTGGCCTTCGCGGGCCCTCGATTCAACACCATCGTGCTTCTGGGCCTGTGCGGAGCCGGCAAGACGTCCCTCTGGTACAAGGTGCGAATTCGATCATCATTCGCAACCCTTATAGCGCCTGTTGTTGAATTCCAAACACTGTCAACAGGCACTAGGAGCCATTGTTCTTTCACTTCCGGGTCATATTTGAAAAGCACTATATCTTTCAAAAGTGTTCGTTGGCTCACGCGTCAACGTCTGCCATTCTTACCTGTCCATCCAAAAGCCTGCTATCCATCATTGTCTCCCTCCACTATCCCCCTCTCCTTGACTCGCACGTGACAGCTGCGGGATGGGTCAACCCACGGCGGCACAGTGACGTCAATGGCAGTCAACGATGACAAGTTCCCCCTGCACGCCGAGCTGAGCAAGGTAGATTTCTGGTTGCCTCAAAAACAGTCAACAACGGTAACGAGTTCCCTTAGTACGCGGACCTGAGCAAGGTAAAACAAATCTGGAAAGCTGGAAGTGCATGGTCAGTGACACTCGGGGAGCATACGAAAACCTTCTCCCTTCTACTATTTGTCTTCCACCAATCCCTGGTCCCCTTTTCCAGCATTTTGGCCGCGCTCCATAATGCTCATTATCTTCTTATCCGTTCTTGAATCTAGTCAGGCGTCATAATGCTCATTCCCTTCTTATCCCATCTTAGCTTCTTCATTCGTTCATTTCTTGCTTCTCTGTCACCTCCCTCATCATCCTTCCCACGCCAATGCGTCCCTCGCTAACCCGTTGTGTGTTTCCAGAACCCCAGGGCCCGTCCAGTGCATCTGGTGGACCTGCCTGGCCATCCCCGCCTGCGCTCCCTGGGGGCTCCGTTCCTCTCCCGCGCCTGTGGGATCGTGTTCCTGGTGGATGCACTTGATTTCACTCTCAACATCCGACCTAATGCAGAGTGGGTGCTCTGTCAGCCTGTGTGCCATGCGCTTATCATCTGATGCACGTATGCATGCATGAGTGCTTATTTTATCTCGTGCACTTGTGTTATCATATCATGGTCTATCTGCTTACCGTTATGTACTACTGCTCCAGGTATCTGTATGAGCTGCTCTCATCTGCTGCTGTGCAACGGAGGCGGGTGCCGCTGCTGCTGGCATGCAACAAGATGGAGAAGGTGACGGCACACTCGGTGGAGTTCATCCGGAAGCAACTTGAAAAGGAAATGTGAGTCAAATGCATGTATGCCTCTTGTGTTTATTCATTCCTGAATCAAACAGCACCGCCAGCATTACCGCTACCTTACTAGTAACCTGATATGCATTCCTCCTCCCGTTTTCCTTGTTTACCATGCACCACTGCGCTTGCGCATTATGTGACACACATTTTTCTCTCGTATCTTATGGCAGTGAAAAGCTTCGCTCATCACGCCATTCCATGGCATCTGTTGGCTCCAGCAAGGACGGAGGGTCACAAGGGCTTGTTCTGAAAAGCAGTGGAGGCGTTTTCCGGTTCGCTGACTGCGTCAACCCAGTGACATTTGCAGAGTGTTCCGTGGCTAGTGATAATCTGAATGACGTTGAGACCTTCATTCGTGACCTTGTCAGGCCTTAACACCACTTCACTCGAGACCTAAACAATAGGGCTGCAGGATGCTGCTATAATATATGACTGCCACTGCCAGTGGCAGCTTACAACCTAGGTAAGATGTTGTGATGAGGTGAAAATGTATGACTGGCACTGCATGTGGTGATGAATTTGGGTTCTGATGCTACCACACCGAGAGACTGTCTAGCACAAGTGCCAGAGTGTGAAGATAGCCACATGAAGAACAAGTTTAGAGAATAATTTTTGGACTCCTCTGAGCAGTTCAGATCCAAAACTTTGCGGTGGGCGTGGATCGGACACGCGACCTTCAGATCTTCCGTCTGACGCTCTCCCAACTGAGCTATCCCCGCGAATTTTGGAGAAGTGGGGTATCGATCCCCATACCTCTCGCATGCTAAGCGAGCGCTCTACCATCTGAGCTACATCCCCATGGTAGCAGGTCTCAAAAACAGTATTCATCCGATATAAATATTTGTCTTATCCAGTCACAACATCTTCGTCAGTTGTTCGCAGTCATGGCTACTGCGCAGCCGCTGGAAGCCAGTGATGAGGAACCCGACAGGATTCTCTTCGGAATGAGCGCAGCGGCTTATTATGAGCAGAATAAAGTGGTTCATTCCTCTGAATATATCACGAATTCGAGGAACATCCGCCTCTACACGCAGTCATGGTTGCCTGGTGAGGATTACAAACGTTAGGCTCGACTGAATTTGAGAATCACATCCTAGCTCTGCATGCGAGCTAGCACGTCCAGTCTTTCTCACTTCCCTCTCAGCTGTTGGATTATCGTCGCTCCCGTTTGCTCCGTGCGTGATCGAAACACTTCCTGCTGCCATTCCCAATTCTCTCTCATGATATGCGTCCTCTGGACCTTCTCGTCGTTCAGCCGATCGCAAGCCGTTGGCCCTCCTCTTCTTCTGCCACGGCTACGCCAGCAGCTGCAGTTGGATGATGCAGGCAAGGCACCCCATCTCCGGTTGTTTTTCACATTTCATTTCCTGAATCCGACTCTCATCTGTGACGACCAGCTATTTTCATTTCCGCCTCATTCCACCTCTCCTGCGATTCTCGCAGCTCACAGCCGCTCGATTCGCCTCGGAGGGCTTCGCAGTGTTTGGCGTCGACTACGAGGGTCATGGCAAATCGGACGGTCTGCGATGCTCGTTCAGGTCCGTAGAGCATCTGGTGGACGACTGCTGCGCCTTCTTCGCGTCCGTCAAGGCGAAGTCTGACTTTGCAGGGCTGCCGTCGTTCGTGTACGGGGAGTCGCTGGGAGGCGCAATCACCATGACCGTGGCATTGTAAGAAGCCAGCAACATCTCCCCCTGGTTCTTGTGTCATGTGCACCATTTGATTCGTTTCGATTATTGTTGAAATGACGGTCTCTAAATCAGTCAACATCATGCCCAAATTCTTCAGTTGGTTGCAGATTTCTTAACTGCGTTGTGAACTTCCGTACATGGTGTTTTACAATGCTGTTGCTGTTCTCTCAGGCGTAATCCTGACAGCTGGACTGGACTGGTCATGGTGTCTCCCATGCTGCGCATTAAGGAAGAGCTGCAGCCTAGCTGGGCAGCGCTGCAGGCTCTTCGGGTCCTTGCAACGATCATTCCTGACAGTGCCTTTGTGCCCACCAAGGGTGACTTGATCCGGTGAGACTATATACTGTTTCTCTGGCAGTTTTCTTCCCTGCCTTAGCTTGTTACTCCATTTGGCCATCACTTTCTAGGACCTACTTCACACCTACTACACCTTTGCTCTTTTTCTTATTTTTGTCCCCCCTCTTCCACCTCTCTTGTTTCTGTCCCATGGACTATCCAGTCTCTCATTCCGGGATCCTGCAAAACTTGAAGTTGCTCTCAAGAACCCACGCCGCTACAGTGGTAAACCACGCTTTGGTGTTGCCTTTGAGCTCCTGCGTTTCGCCGATGCTGTTACAGCCTCCATTCCAAACCTGCAGTTGCCATTCCTCGTCATGCATGGGGGATCAGATGGTGTAACAGATCCAGACCAATCCAGAGACTTGCATGAGAATGCTCCGAGTAAAGATAAGACGCTCCATATATACCCATCAGCTTGGCACCAGCTGCTGCAAGGCGAACCAGAGCCAGAGAGAGAAGATGTGTGGAAGGATGTGCTGGCATGGCTGAAAGAGAAATCAGGAGGATGAAATATACATAAATAAACAAGTTCAGTGAGCCATTTGTATGTTGTTTTTATGTCATGGTTTTAGAGTGCCTCAAATTCACTGTAAGAATTATTGTCAGAAACAACTCCCCATACCACCTCTCGCATGCTAAGTGAGCACGCTAACATCTGAGCTACCGTACATCCCCATGCGAGTAAGTTCAAAATGGTTTACAAAACCTGATTACGCTACTACCGTTCCCCAGTCACAAAAACTCCCGTCTGTTCGCAATCATGGCTACTGCGCAGCCACTGGAAGCTACTGAGGAGGAACTCGACAGGATCCTCTTCGGAACGAGCGCAGCGGCCTATTACGAGCAGAATAAAGTGGTCCACTCCGCTGAATACATCACGAATGCGAGAAATATCCGCCTCTACACGCAGTCATGGCTGCCTGGTGAGGATCACGAACGTTAGGCTCGACTGAATTCAGATCAGTGACTCTGTATGCGAGCTACCACCCCGCGTTTCATATTCCTCGTCCCGTTCCTGTTCTCGTTACCTGATCAAAACTCTTCCTTCTGCCATTTCCAACTCTGTCCCGTAATCTGCGTCCTTCGAACCGTCTCGTTGTTCAGCTGATCGCACGCCGTCGGCCCTCCTCTTTTTCTGCCATGGCTACGCCAACTGCTGCAATTGGCTGATGCAGGCAAGAGATTCCCTCTCCAGTTGATATTCACAATTTCTTCCCTGAGTCCGACCGTCCCGTCACGACCAGTTACCTTCATTTCCGCCTCATTTTTCTTCTCCTCCAATTCTCCAATTCTCACAGCTCACCGCCGTTCGATTCGCCTCGGAGGGTTTCGCAGTGTTTGGCATCGACTTTGAGGGCCACGGCAAATCGGACGGTCTGAGATGCTCGTTCAGGTCCGCGGAGCAACTGGTGGACGACTGCTCCGCCTACTTCTCATCTGTCAAGGCGAAGCCTGACTTCGCAGGGCTGCCGTCCTTTGTGTACGGGGAGTCGCTGGGAGGCGCCATCGCCATGACCGTCGCACTGTAAGGAGCCAGCAGCACCTTCGCGTGATTTTTCTGTCGGTCCGACCATCCCATTTGTTCCTTTCTCCCTTTCATGCTGCCAGTGTCAGGCTTCAGACCGGTCAACAGCTGCTCAGTTCCTTCCGTTCTTTTCTGTATCATTTCCTAATTGTTTTGTACGCCTACTTATGTGATGTGTTTCTTGTTCTGTTCTCAGGCGCGATCCTGACCGCTGGACTGGGCTGGTCATGGTGTCTCCCATGCTGCGCATTAAGGAGGAGCTGCAGCCTAGCTGGGCTGCACTGCAGGTTCTTCGAGTCCTTGCAACGATCATTCCTGACAGTGCCTTTGTGGCCACCAAGGGAGACCTGATTCGGTAAGACCATGTGCTGTGTTGTTCTGGCAATTATCTTCCCTTCTTTCGGTCTTAACAGAATTCTGTGCATTGCTCTCTTGCACTACTCCTCCCTTGAACATATTTCACAACTTCAACTTCGCTCCGACTTTTCTTTCTCCATCCCTCCTCTCCCATGGACTATCCAGTCTCTCGTGCCGGGATCCTGCAAAACTTGAAGTTGCTCTCAAGAACCCACGCCGCTACAGTGGTAACCCACGCCTTGGCGTTGCCTTTGAGCTTCTGCGTTTCGCCGATGCTGTTACAGCCTCCATTCCAAACCTGCATTTGCCATTCCTCATCATGCATGGTGGATCAGATGGTGTAACAGATCCAGACCAGTCCAGAGACTTGCATGAGAAGGCTCCGAGTAAAGATAAGACGCTCCATATATATCCATCAGCTTGGCACCAGCTGCTGCAAGGCGAACCAGAGCCAGAGAGGGAAGAGGTATGGAAGGATGTGCTGGCATGGCTGAAAGAGAAATCACAAGGATGAAAGTAACATGTACCATGTTCAGGGGGAGTCCAGCGCGTACGTTTACAGGTACTATACAGTTCATTCGTCTAGGTTTGAGAAGATATCAGGCGGTGCACAACGGTTTTGAAACTGCAACGTCTTTAACCGTGACGCAGTACAGATTACCGCACTGAATGAACTGTAATGTACGGAAAACGTACGCGCTGGACCCGCCCTCAGTGATCCGTTTGTAAGTTGCTTTTATGTACAAGGTCTGAGTGCCTCAAATTTGCTGTATGGCAAGGCGGAGGCAACACTTTATCATATACGGTAGAAGCACGCGGTGTACAAATTCCGTGGCAATGATAGCGGAGGTTCGGTTCCCAAGGCCATCCGCCGATATAGCAGCTCTGTCATCGATCCAAGGATTTCAAACCATCCGAACCGTTCAGTAAAGCGGTAATCGGGGGCCTAAGCTCCGCTGGCAGGTGACCTAAGCTCCGAAGGAGGCTCGCTACTCCCTAACCTAGATCCACGTGGCGTCGGCCGATTGTCGAGATTGAGAGATCAAGGTTCCTGAAGTATCCATCCTTTATGAAGGTTTCAGGACCTGACTCAGCTTCCATTTTGTCGCTCACCTGTTTCTCCACTGCCCAGTCCTCCAACATCCAAGGTGTGTAACAAAGTCAGGCCAGGTTCATAGGCTCTCTGCATTAGGTGCTGTTGTCTCCCTGTTGTCTCCCACTGAGTTCTAGGTTCTGGCAATTCCTCCTTAATAGTGTCTCTCTGTCTACTTCACAGTTAATACTTCATAAAAATGGAGAAGGAACGCGAGAACCACGTCTACCTTGCTAAGCTCGCGGAGCAAGCCGAGCGCTACGATGGTGAGTTAATGCAGGAGCTGAGCACACTTGGTTCGAATTATTGGTTTGATTATTTTTCCACGTTTTGTGCGACCACAGATCTGTAGTTTTTTATTTTCTCTTTTCATGACGCCTTCCGTTGTCCTCTTCAGAGATGGTTTCATCCATGAAGGATGTTGCCAAGCTCGACGTCGAGCTGTCCGTTGAGGAGCGCAACCTCCTCTCCGTTGGCTACAAGAACGTCATTGGAGCTCGCAGGGCTTCATGGAGAATCATGTCTTCTATCGAGCAGAAGGTCCGAGATGTTAATCATATAGCTAATCCTTCTCTCGTGACCCACATTTTGAAATCACTAGGATTCTGTATTCGTTTTTCTTACCGTTCCTTTTTTGTCCCCTACTTTCAGGAGGAGAACAAGGGCAACGAGCAGAATGTGGCGAGGATCAAGGAGTACAGGTCGAAGATTGAGGCGGAGCTCTCCGATATCTGCCAAGACATCCTCAACATCATTGACAGCAATTTGATCCCCTCGTCTGGCACTGGAGAGTCGAAGGTTTTCTATTACAAAATGTGCGTGTTCATTGTTTTGCATGCGCAAGCAGGGTTGTATCCAGTTCTTGGTTCTAAGCTTGTCTTTTCTGTTTTCAGGAAGGGTGACTACTACCGCTACCTCGCAGAGTTCAAGACTGGCGCTGACAGGAAGGAGGCCGCTGAGCAGTCGTTGAAGGCGTACCAGTCAGCTTCCGAGGTCGCGACTGTCGATCTTGCACCTACCCACCCCATCCGCCTTGGTCTTGCCCTGAACTTCTCTGTGTTCTACTACGAGATTTTGAACTCACCAGAGAAGTACGTACTTATCCATAGTGCAGATATTTCCTCCTGTGAGGGCTTGCCTCTAACACTGTTTTTTCTTTTACAGGGCCTGCCAATTGGCCAAGCAAGCCTTCGACGAGGCTATTGCCGAGCTTGACACTCTGAGCGAGGAGTCCTACAAGGATAGCACCCTCATCATGCAGCTTCTTCGTGACAACTTGACACTCTGGACGTCTGATCTCCAGGACGAAGCCGCCGCCAAGGACGAGCCTGGTGAGTAATGCGTTGATTTGATAGCACAATCTTTTCTCTTCCCAGAACAAGAACTTAATTTGTTTTTTATGAATTTGCAGCTGAGGAGAAGAAGGATGAGAAGCCTGCTGACGAGTGATAATCCATCTGACCATTCCACTACACACTTAGTTAGCCTTGGCGACACATTCTCTCTTGTTTTGGTTCTTTTGTTCACCTCTTTACATAGTCTAGTGTAATGATCGTGCTGTACCCGCTGTACAATCAATACCGAACTTGCTGTAAGAACGTGCAGTGAATTGTGTTGAACATTAATACAAACGAGTGCCACATAGGGTAAGGACGCGGTGAAAGTGCTGGATCGGGGGTAGATCGATTCGGTCACCGCACTGAACCCTGCATTTTGGACACGAAAGGTACACAACCTTTTATAACCGCGCTAAAAAACGATCCTTTGGCGATCAATTCTCCACTTTCACCGCGTCCTAAGAACTGGTGAGCACTGCTGTGCTGCGTACCTAAATAGAAACCAGGTGTCTATGTTCGTTACTGCTTCCATAAGATTCTGCGCTTCTCTGACGCAAGTCAATTCTGTTAGCTCAGCATGGAATTCGAAATAAACAAATAGATGCACTAATTAAGCAGCATTATTCCAGTGTATATCACATCAACTTAGTCTCGGTCCATGTCAGTTGCCTCAGCTGTGGAGTTATTTTGCTCATCGCCTGTTGCTTCGTTCTGGGAAGCTGCATAGTGGTGTGAGCTCCCAACTCTCCGGTAGAAGAGCACGTAAGCCGCAGGTGTCTCAATTTGTGACTCGTTTGCAGGAGAGACAAAGCTGTCATCGAAGGTGTGCCATTGGCGCTCGTTGCCCAACTGCATTCATAGTTGAAGCAAAGAGAGAGATTGAGCACACTCGAACTGATGAAACCCAGTGCATGTGGAAAGATGCGGATTGTGGCCTTACACAACTAAATGCATTGAAATGAAACCCATCAGCTGAGTCTCCCAACTCACCTGCACATATGCAGTATAATGCCCTCCACCCATGCCACCGTAATGGTTGCTGATCGCATACAGCTCATACACATTGCCACCTCCTTCAGCATTGCAGGGCGGCAGGTACGGCGAGAGGTCAAAGTCATGGATGGGGAAGGTGACGAGCGTGTCGAGCTTGTTCTTGAAGTAGCGGCTGTAGGAGAAGCGCTTCAGATGCACCACGAGGATCTCCGGCAGTCGCCACAGGTCAAGCTTCTTAGTGGCCTGCCTGTGCTCCTTGCACTGTGGGCAGTACCTGATTGGAGCGAGGAAAGAGGGCAGAGATAAGGGGCAGAGAAAAGTGGTGAGGGAGAACGGGAAAAATAAGGTGTTAAATGTATCAGGCAACCGTGGGGCAAGCAAACAGAGAAGCTACAAGACACCACGTCATCAGAAATCATGACTCGGTGTGGTACCATGGCACATAGCACAATGGACATGCAAGCAGCAAAATGCGTAATCAATCACAACAAACGGGAAAAAAATAATATCAAAACACAACAATTCACCGCTGACTGCTAAGTGATGAAAAGAAGAACAATCACTCACCACATATCATCAGGGCCCAACGGTTCCTCTTTGATGAACGCATCCAGGCACGAGAACAGCGTCACTCCCTCCTGCCGCTTGTTCTTCATGGGCAGCCCCGCACTGCCCGAGCTCACTTCGGGCAGCTCCTCAAGCTGCCCGACATCGTAAAACTCCTTGAGCCCATCGACCGACCAATCCAGAAGCAGCGCGAGTCCATCCTTGGAAAGCATATCTGGAGTGAATCCCTTGGGCAAATCAGTGCCATCTGGGATCCGAATGGCATCAGCAGCTGTCTCAACATGCGCTCGCGTGACAGACAGCAAAAACGGCGGCTCGTCTGCTGCTGCCGCCTGTCCCTCTCTTCCCCCCTGCCCCGCAGCATCCTCAGCCCCTGCAGATCCCTTCGCAGTCGCCCCATTCTCCCCCTCACCCTCCTCACCGCCAGCTGATGCATCACCAGTATTGGCATCCCTCCCTAATGATTCGTCCATAGGATCATTCTTCCCCTGCACATCCCTGTCCCCTGTGCCGTCTGCACCAACACTACCAGCACCACCATCACCAGCCGCACCACCAACGCCCGCACCAGCACCACTGGCACCAGCACCATCGCTTTCAGCTGTGCCACCAGCAACAACACCACCATCAGCAGCAGCAGGAGAAGCGGCATCGGCTGGAGATGCAGCACTGTTCCCAGCAGGGGAGAGAGAGAGGGAGGTCTTGGTCTCGGATACCCCTGGTCGCAGGAAGGGCTTCAGGGCAGTGCGCACATGGCGGTAAAGGTCGGCGCCGGAACGAATGTCAAAGCGGGAGACCGGGAGGAGGAGAGGCGCGCCGTGCAGGCGCCAGAAGAAATCGTTGGTTACTGTGGAGCTGCGGATAGGAGAGGGGATTCGTTGGAAAAAGGAAAAGAGAAGAGAGGTACAGGAAAGAGAAAGGAGAAAAGAGGGCAGGGAAGAGAGGGGAGAAAAGAGGGGATGTGGGAAAGGAGGAGTGGGGAGGATAATGGGGAGGAGAGAAGGGAGGAGAGTGGGGAGGATGATGGGGAGGAGTAGCGGGGCGGCAAGCCACCAGAAGAAAATGTTTGTGAGTGTGGAGCTGCAAGGGGGAATGGGGGTAGTTGACAGGTGGGGAGAGGGGAGGACGAGAGGGGAAGAGGAGAGGGGAGGAGGAGAGAGGGGAGGAGGAGAGAGGAGGAGGAGAGGAGAGGAGGGGACGGGATGAGCAGAGGGGTGGAGGAGAGGGGCGCCAAGAAGCGGCCGACGGAAATTGTATTGTAACTGTGGAACTGTCAAGAGAAGAAAGCATCGAGATTGGGCCAGAGATTGGGAAGGAGGGAATGAAGGCGAGGGGGAGGAAATCACAAAGACAAATTCCTCCTCGCATGAAACACTCACACACTTCTTTGGACCCGAATTCCTACCTCTGCCCCCCACCCCCCTACCCCCCTCCCCCCTTCCTCCTTACCCACCTCCCTCCTCCCCTCCCAAAGCACACTCACACTTCCTTAATTCGCTGTGTGACTATAACGGGGGATTCACACCCCCGCGGCACGCGGTAAGCCACGAGCCTGTCTCGGTCCTCAATGGACGAGATCTGCTCCAGCGGTGGGAACGCGCGGAAGATGCGATTATTGTAGATCTGAGAGGGAAGCGGAGGGCGGGCAAGGGAGAAACGGGTGCGGGGGGGGAAGGATATGGGAGGTGAGAGGAGATCTCCTTCAGTAAGCCATGAGCCTGTCTCGGTCCTCAATGGGCGAGATTTGCTCCAGAGGGGGGAACGAGCGGAAGATGCGGTTGTTGTTGTAGATCTGGTGTGTGTGTGTAGTGCAAATGGAAAGGGAGAGTGGGGAGCGAGGGGGGGGGGGGGGGGATGTGATGTGATGGGGGAGAGAGAGGGAAGGAGGGGGTAGTGTGGAAGAAGTTTAGAGAGGAAAGTAAAGAACAAGTTGACGCTGTAGGGTTTTTTTGAGAATTCTCAAAAAAACCCTTGAGTCGACTCAAAGATGTGATGTGATAGGGGAGAGAGAGGAAGGAGGGGTAGTGTGGAAGAAGTTTAGAGAGGGAAGTAAAGAACACTTGGTAGGCCAGCCAGCAACCTGTCTAAGTCTTCAATGGACAACATCCCCTTCCCCTCACTACCCCCTCCAACAGAGAGCAACAGCTCACCTCAACAGCAGCACACCTCAGCAAGACCTCACCTCAGCCACGTACAGTCTCTCTCCAGCAGGCAGCTAGCACGCCCCTTTTCTTTCCTAGAGAGGTTGCTGGACTAGGCCACACGCGGCAGGCCAGCAACCTCTCCAGCAGGCAGTTGGCACGCCTCAGCTAACGCCCTCTGCAGGTCCAGAATCCTGCCTGTGCGCGGCACCGTGACAGTGAGCGCACGGGGGGGCTGGTCGCCAAAGGAGGAGAGGGGAGAGAACAGCTTACCTCAGCCACATGCAGCCTCTCTCCAGCAGGCAGTTGGCACGCCTCAGCTAACGCTCTCTGCAGGTCCAGAATCCTGCCTGTGCGCGGCACCGTGACAGTGAGCGCCCGAGGGGGCTGGTCGCCAAAGGACGAGAGCAGCGTGAGGTGCAGCGAGCGCGTGGCCTTGGAGGGCAGCGGCAGCGAGAGGTACATGAAGGGATCGAAGGTGACCGAGACCTTCTTGCACTGCGGACACACCAGCGTTGACTTGTATTGACCCTGCGGGGAGGGGGGTGTGGGGTGGAAGAACGATGGGAAAACGAGGTTGGAGTTTGGAGTTTTATGACCGGAATGCACCAGTTTCATGTTACATACCACCTAGTAACCATTTAATAACGGGTTACCACATGGTTACCAGCAAAATCACCTGGAACCTGTCAACGATGATGGAGTCGTTCCTCGCCTTGTGGTACTCCCGATTAGATCAGGGAGGCCGATCACCTGGTTACCACATAATCACCACCTGGTTACCACATAATCATCACCTGGTTACCACATAATCACCACCTGGTTACCACATAATCATCACCTGGTTACCACATAATCACCACCTGGTTACCACATGATCATCACCTGGTTACCACATAATCATCACCTGGTTACCACATAATCATCACCTGGTTACCACACGGTGACCCACCTGGAATTTGTCAACGATGATGGAGTCGTTCCGCGCCTTGTGGTTCTCCCAGTTCTCCCGCGCCACCTCCTCGTCCGCCCGCCCATCGGCGTCTTTAGCTTCGATGTACGGCTTGCGCATCACCCTGTTCAGGTCCTCATGCAGGCCATCCAATAGAAAGGCCAGGAGTTCCTGTAGAGGGCGGGTGGGAGCAGAGGGGGTGGGGAGGAGTGGCAACGTGAGGAAGGAGGGGTGCAGCATCAGCGTCTTTAGCTTCGCTGTACGGCTTGCGCATCACCCTGTTCAGGTCCTCATGCAGGCCATCCAATAGAAAGGCCAGAAGCTGCTGAGGCTTGTGGGAGCAGAAGGGGAGTGGCTGTGTGAGCAGAGCAGAGGTGCAGCATGAGTGTCCTTGGCTTCGCTGTACGGCTTGCGCATCACCCTGTTCAGGTCCTCGTGTAAACCGTCCAATAGAAAAGC